TTTCGTAGATTACGTCGAGGGCAAAAATCTTGTTTCAGAAACGGATAATATACGGAGAAGAGTTTCTTGTTATATCTCTATTTTCTCACTTAAATATTTATATTTCGTTTATACCTTTAATTTTGTTGTTCGTGTTGATTATTCGAGGGTATATAAGAGGATGGTACGTCTTAATAATATTTCATCGATACATCCATTTTATGCTTTCATAACTGGTTTTCTTTTTTATCATTTCACTAATACTTTTTATTTGCTTTTTAAATCCATCCACATTATGGGTTTCTCCGATTTTCGATATTTTTTTCAGATTTGTTCCAAGGTTGTTTCAGAGCTAGTAATGAAGTTAGTATTTGTCATAATCGATATCGATAAAAATTCAAGGCATTAAACACGAATAAAACGACGCCTTGATTAATGTTTAATCGATTTTCAAGCATCAAGTTGTAAACAATGATCGGATTAATGGATCTAGTTGAAATAATATATATCAACTATGGTACTCGAGTAACAAGCCAAATAAAAGCTTAACTGGATGATAGCCAATTCTTCTAATATATGTTTGTTTATAACAATATGAACAATATATATAAGATGATATTCTTGATTATAAATAGTCCTCGTGCGTAATATAAAGCCATGCGTCGATGTTATTTATCGAATCTTATTACGTCATTTATTTCTATTAACGTAGTATTATCTTATTAATAAATTAATACAATGATATAATTAATAACGTAACATATGCCACGAATAAAAAGAGTAAATAAAGACATTCGATATTTAAAATAAATACAATTACCTAATCGTAAATATCCATTAGCCTGTCCTCTTCTCCTTTTCAAGAAATAATTTAAAAAGTTCGTAACAAACGATCTACGAGTCAAAACTGTTCGAAACACATTCGAACGATTTCTGGAACGGATCAAAAGTCCAGTTTCGATACACCGCGATCTGTGGCAATATAAAAGCATTCGATAAAGTTTCGATACTCGAAATGCCAATACTTTTAGACTAGAATTATATTTCGTCTCGAAATAAACCTGAATGCTGGGAATATCGATATCATTTAAATGTAATAGAATGTTCGCCAGTGGTTCCAGCATCGAGCGATCATTACTCTTGACCATCCTTGATCAAAACTGTCGTAAAACTCGCGAGGAACGTGACCCTGTAGAAGGGACGGGGCAAAATGTCGAAGGTGAAACTCGTAATCGATGCCGTTGATCGCGAATCTCCGATACTGTTGTCGCCGCGGAAGAATAAAAGTACTCGAGGGTTTTTTCGAGTAATAAGTAGGATGGGGTGTTTTTCATCGGCGCTAACCACGGGCCGCCGTTGGCATAATTGACCCAAATGTGGCGCAAAAATAGCGGATCATAAATTACACGGGCGGAACGGGAGTGCACTTGACACGGCCCTGTCGCGACACGGTCAACGAAGCCCGGAGACGACAGACGACGATGGCAGAAAAAGAGGGTTCCATTCAAGGTCACTCATTCTTCCGCCGCGTCCTCGTTTCGAGTGGTGACAATCGGGGAACTAGCGCCACAGTCGTTTTACAAAAGGGTCTCTGCTCGCGTGGGTTGCGAGGGAAAAACGCGAGAAATCGTAGTTGATTCTCCTCATCGATCGCGTATTTTCCTTTCTTTCTTTCCTTCTTTTCTTTTTCTCTTTCTTTTCTTTGTTTAAGTTTCTTTGAAGGCAGAAATTTGGAAAATGTAAATTCGCGCGAGGAAAATTGTGATTTCTCGAGATAAATGACGAATCGAAGTGTCGACTTGTCGAATATATTCGTAAAGAATTGTGTGCCAACGATTATGGTATGGTATTTCTATAAAATTTTATGCTTGATTTTCAAGCGTCAATTTCCATTGTTATTAATAAAATGATTTAGGAATTCAAACGATTTCAACAATATGCAGAATAGACAATTCATGCTCGATTTATCCTATTTCAATAACATTTCATTGTTTCTCCATTATCAATAGCCAAGTTTGGAATTTAGAACGCTTGTCCATTCATACGTTCTTCGATAAAAGTTAACTGTCGCATAAAATTAGAATATATTATAACAATATATTATAATATATAATATAGATACAATATTACATTATTTAATAACCGATTTGTTAATATCAACAACTGAAAATCCTACCAGCTTTGCCAACAGCTCATATTCTATAAAATATAAAATTGTCAATTTAATATTTTTCCAGTTAAAATAATGTAAAATATTTTCAAAAACGTTCTCAATATTCAAATTTAAATTTCAATTCATGTCGCGATATTGCGTTCTATACAAAAATTCGTAATATTATACGTGCAATTTTCATCGAATGTTGTCGTTTTCGGGGGGAAAAAAAAAAAGAAGAAATAAATTTAATAACACGATACCACCGTGCAGACTGAATAAATTGAATGAAAGTCTGAATGATTATAATGGATTGAATAGATTAAGCAAGTAGTACAAACAAATGGAATAAAGTGGGTCGTCTAGTGCGTTTGATATCCCTCTCGTGTCGAAAACCTCAATCGAGACGAGAAGAACTTCGATATCGCGTTGAAATACCGTAAAATCCTTCCATTCGATTCGATGTTTGAACTTGAAAAAAAATCGTTTAAACCATCTCTGGATAAACTGCAAAATAAATAAATGAATAAATAAATGAATAAACTACCTCTACCTTCTCTATAAAATACAAATAAAGAGACCGGATTAGAAAATTGATATAAACGATTTCTCCGATCGCATAAAATCATTTACAAAAACATTAATAAAACTCAATAACGAAAAAAGAAGAACGAACGACAGATGGAGAGAAAAAATTGTTTCAAATATTAGAATTTTCTTTTTCTTCTTTTTAGAAAGCTAATAATATTTTACCACGATACGAATTATTCGTATCGCTTATCGATAAATTTATGGTCGTTGACAGTTTCGAATCTCTCTCTCTCTGTCTATTTTCCAGATTACCGGTGAAGGCTGGACGTAGAAGGAAGGAGAAAATATCGGAGGAGGCGATAGCTGGAGCGGCACGCGATCCATCGATCCATCGGGTGTAAAGAGAGAAACGGTGGCAATCGTCGGAGCAGGGCACGACGAGAGAGTGGACGGGAGGCAACGCCCTTTTCCCGTCGGGAAGATGAAGGCCAGGCTGGTACGTCGGCTCGTTGCCACGTCCGTGACCTAAGGGCGGAGAGGAGAAGAAGAGGAAGGAGGGAAAGGACGCGGTGGGCCGACGAGCATGACGACGATCGTGACGAGCAGCGAATCGAGCGAGGTGGTGTCCTCGGTGGACGTGACGACCCTGTTGAACGGCATCTCGACCGAGGAGGGGCAGTTCGGGAACGCGAGCTACTCGGGCGAGCAAAAGTTGTCGGTGGCCGTGACGATCGCGAAAGGTTGCCTGATGGGCTCCATCATAGTGACCGCGGTGTTCGGTAATCTGTTGGTGATGGTGTCGGTGATGCGGCACAGGAAGCTGCGGATCATCACCAATTATTTCGTGGTCTCTTTGGCGTTGGCCGACATGTTGGTCGCGATGTTCGCGATGACGTTCAACGCGAGCGTGCAGTTGACCGGCAAATGGCTGTTCGGTTATTTCATGTGCGACGTGTGGAACTCCCTGGACGTGTACTTCAGCACCAGCTCCATCCTCCATCTGATGTGCATCTCGGTGGATCGTTACTGGGCGATCGTGAAACCGCTCAAATATCCTATTATCATGACCAGGAGGCTGGCCGCCTATATGCTGCTCGCCTGTTGGATATTGCCCGCGTTCATCTCGTTCATGCCCATTTTCATGGGATGGTACACCACGCCTGAGAACAGTATGCGAAGGCAGAATCATCCCGATTTGTGCGAGTTTAAGGTGAACAAGATTTACGTGATATTCTCGTCGAGCATCTCGTTCTGGATACCGTGCACCATCATGACGCTCACGTACTTCGCCGTGTTTAAAGAGGCGAACAGGCAGGAGAAGCAAATGCACAGCAGGATGGGGAACGTGATGCTGTTGAGCCACAGGCCGAGCAAGGATTTGAATAATTTGAACGGGGAGCTGAACAGCGCGGGCTCCTCCAAGACGTTGACGTTGAACGAGATCAGTACCAATCATCTGCACACGCCTACCAAGGACAAGAATATCATGAAGATGAAGAGAGAGCACAAGGCTGCTAGGACGTTAGGCATCATCATGGGTACCTTCATACTCTGCTGGTTGCCCTTCTTCTTGTGGTGCGTCTTCCACGATTCAGGCTCCCGCATCTTGCCGAGGACATACAAATTTTTACGCTTATCTTTTTCCAACCCTCTTTTCTCTTTTTTTTTTCTTTTTTTTTTTATTTTATTTTTCATCGCCGCTTCTCGTCTCTCCTCTCTTCGTTTTTCCTCTCGAAACAAGTTTTTAAACCGTCCTTAATAGATGGATACGTATATATCATCGTCGTTGATTTAATTCAGGTCCAAGATATTTTTAGATTAATCGTTAGTTTAATTATAACGTGAAAACTGAGTGACAGTGACGCACATGGATCGTGTTCGGTTAATGGATTCAATTGGTCTCGTTACGATAGCGTACGATTAATTATGCGTGTCGATGGAGATAAGTGGTTTACGCGAAACAACGTTTCGTCCCGATTCCCGCTAGAAACGAGAACACGAGAATAAAAATTTCGAATACATTCCTTCGCTCTCGTTCCGTCAACAATTTCAACAATTTTCGCATACGCGGTACCATTGATATTCATCCATATTCTCAGAGACTCGATCCTCCGAGAAATGGTGATCGACAACCATTCTCGAGGAGATGTTCGCGTAGAGATCCATTGACGCTGTGAAATCTGTGTTCACAGGTACGTTATCACAACGTTATGCGGAGAATCCTGTCCGTGTCCCGACATCGTGATCGCCCTGCTTTTCTGGATCGGGTACACGAATTCGGCGCTGAACCCGTTGATCTACGCGTACTTCAACCGCGACTTCCGAGAAGCTTTCAAGAATACTCTGCAGTGCGCGTTCTGCTCGCTCTGCAGACGAGAGCCGTCCGATCTCGAGGCGCTCGATTTCCGTCGGCCGTCCCTAAGGTACGATCTGGTCTGACACGTTGAGGTACGCACTACATTCTATCGCTTTTTCTTCTCCCTTTTTTTCTATTTTTCGTCCATCCTGATCCCTCGATAGAATTAGATCTCTTTCTGGCTTCGTACTCCTACAACAACGTGGTGCATGATTTATTAACGAGTGGTTGCGGGAATGAATGATCTTACTCTCGCAATTTAGGTTAGACACTCGAGGAACGTGTTTCCTTCGATACGAGTTTCAACAACGTTCCAATTATTTTGTTCGAAAATTTCGAAAAGAGGGAAGGATTCGATTAATTTTCTAGAGATGGTTAAATTTTAATTAGGTTACACGAACTCCTTACGTTTGTTCCATGTTTTTATCTTCTTTTCATATTCCACTTTTTCGTAAAGAAAGAAGAGCCTGGATATTCTCTATACGTATTTATTTAAAAATGTTTATATATATATATATTTCATACATATTTCGTATTTCGATCGATTCCACGATATTAAATTCACGTTTTCGCCGATATTTTTACCGTGATATTTCCCTGTTAATTTTTAAACTTTCGAAGAAGGACGATTTTGTATGCATTAATAATAATAATAATAATCGATAATTATTCGATTGTTCGATAAAAGTTACCGAAAATGAAGAAATAATTTATCCTTCGTGATCGACAAATAGTTGTAATAAATAACACGAGTGTGATTCGTCGCATGGAATATAATTTTGGGAAACGAATTCGCGTGTCCGGGAATGATTTAATTAACGTTGCCCGATATATACCTTTCTTCCATTTGACAACGTGATTCCCCGTAACTTTATTTCTCGATGAAAATTACGAATCGTGTGTAACTTCACCGCAATTAATTTTGTCAACTGATTAGAGAGATTATGGAAGTTTCACGTGTTTACATGTTCATTTAATACGATTCGTGATGAAATTTCGTTTCAACGATTGAATATCTCCCTTTCGTAATTTAACTGAAACGATTATATATATTTAGTTAAAACAAAAGTATGTGAACCACTATTTTATAATTACTCATTAATATTAAACTCTAAAATAAAATTTACAAAAATTAATAAAATTTCTTTCAACAAAATTTTGTATTTTTAAACAAACGTTATATTTTTTAAATAATCCCAAATCCCACAGATCTATGTAAAAATCCAAATCACTAGAATCCACAGATTTTTCTAAGATTCTAAATGTATCCGAAATGCTTAAAGTTACATTATGTATTTTTCGATTTAAACGATATCTAAACGATTTAATACGAGATAAAAATTTCATCAAGACAAGTTATCGTAATATTTCTTGTTTGGGTCTCTCGAGTTAATTTTAATATTCTAATATTCGCCGCTCAAAAATTACAGAAATCTATATCTCAAGAGTTAGAAAACGAGACGATTAGAACGGTTCAGGAAAGAAGAGATAAACATTATTTTTAATTTCACGCAGGAAAAATAGAACGAGAGGAGATCCTCGATCCTTTTTCACACGAACGCGAGCATAACTCGAGGAACGCGTACTCATTTCTATCCACGAGCATCTCTCTCTAATCTTTTCTCAAAGTGAATGTTTCTAAAAGAAAAAAAAGGATCGTAAAATTCGACATAGTTGTCCTGTTCACTCTTCTTCGTTCTTATATTTTTGCTGGTAAATTCTCCTACAATTTCACGATTTGATTAGGTATTGTTCTTCCAAAATGTAATTAACGCAGTATAGAATAATATACGTTTAAAATATTTGATCCTCTTCTTGTTCGTCTTGTAATAATGTTTTGATATTTTATAATAACGGTGAATCGTTATCACACTCCCTTTAACGTCACTGTAAAAATTAAAAATATCGTAAGAAAGCATAAATGCCTACAGTTCGATCGAAAGTTATATCAATGGAAAAAATAGAAATTCGATAGAAATAAGATACAATTTTTTAAATGAAATATTTTCAAGTATTTCTATTATTTCATTGTTTCTCTTTGTTTTTTCGTTGCTTTGTTATCTCGTTTATTAATTAGCGTTTAAAGTTTAGTCGTAAAGCGGTTATAGTGGAAATAAATTAGCTGGAAGCTGAGCGTAACGCGAAAATATTATTTAAATAATTTGCAATGGTGGAAGTAGATCACGTTTTACGTCACGTCTCGTTGTCGTAAAGTTAATTAAACGCGCACTGTACGAATTTATAAACTTTTATTTTATTATAATATTTTAGGACAACAATTGAAAGTGTTGCGAATGATAAAAATTGTTGACAACGATATGAATATTAATAATGGTATACGTTCGAAGAATTTGTCAAATTTTTTTTTGATTAAACGCGATTAAATTTTTGATCAAATTTATAAATTTAAAAGTTTAGTTAAAAGAAGTGAGAAATGAACAAGTCGACTGGAACGTTCTCAAACCCAACGCTAGAACGCTATATTAGAGAGATATAGAATAACCGAGGATCGAAAAAACAAATTGAAATCAAATTAAATGATAGAAATAAAATCTTCTATTAATGGTTCGGTGATAGTGCAAAGAGGACAAATAATTGAAAATAAGAGACAACGTATTACCAACTAATATCGACTAATAACTTATTTGCAATTAAAGTTATTTCGAATAACTAAAATTTGTATATGATATGTATATAATATTATATTATTAATAATCGATTTAATTATATACTTAATTAAACATAATTAAATTGAATTTGATCGAATGTAATAATCGAATGAATGTTGGTGTACTTAGTTAATTACAACGACCGAAAAGTAAAAGTAAAATGATTGATAATATAGAAAGTGAGAATAGCTAAATATCATTTGTGTTGGAACAATTTATATTTTAATCCTATTAGAAGTAAATACCCCCCTTTTTCTTTCTTTGCAAGTATTCTTACGTATGCATACAAATTTTAAATTTTAGAAATTATATTTGGAATATTCATAAAATATAGATTTCATTGTATAAGAAAAATGAAAACAAATACCTTCTTTAGTGACAATTCCACGAAGACTATATGGATAAATCGTAATAAGTTCGTTCTTGTCAATCTTTTAATCTCCATATTACTAGTATTTATTACTTCGAAAGAAAATATTAATTTCGAAAATTAAAATTTTATTATCAAATCCGATAATATCTAAACAATTTTAGATTTTTGATTAATAAGTAAAAAAATAATAGAAAATGAAATTTACAACAAAGAGATCACTTATTATGTATTTTTACCATATAGTTTTCAAATGGGACAATCAATGTTACAAGAAAACAAAGCGAACAACAGAGAGCCTTTCAACCCAATTGCAAACTTCAGATAAAAATGACAATACTGGTAACAATCATCCCAATTCCTGAATTCGATGAACAACGTCGAAAGTCGAACAAAACGTATTGGTGCCACTGTCTGTTTCTACTTTCAGGTACGACGATCGCACTAAGAGCATATATTCGGAGACGTACATCAAACACATCGACCGACGAAGATCGAGCGAGTACGGTAGCAGCCTCTGAAAGAAGAGCAATTTTCTACCACCAACTTCACTCGCGATGCAAACAAAAAGAGAAAAAGACACGCATAAACACCTACACACCCACCTAATAATTATACATCCGTATCGTCGCCTACACACATGTATACACACACATAGAAAACAAGTAAAACGACGCGTCAATCGTCGATTAATATACGTAACGTGTTAGCCTCGAGAGATTCTGCGCCATTTTGCCAAAAACTCGCGGAACACGAATCTTGCCAAGTAAATTGCTCGCGTTTTTATCCATCTGCGTCGCGTGTTTACGGTTTCCGGTAAAAAATCCGGATCCTTGCTCCGTCAAAGCGATTCGAAGAAATCGTAAATCAGTAAAAAGGGGAAAAAGAAAAAAGAAAAAAAGATTTTCGGCGTTAAACCCGAAATATTTCACGAAATATTCAAAGATAGATTTTTTTAGTGAAAATGTCGTCTGAGATTAATTAAGGACCACGCGAAATAACATATAATCACGCTATATATTCGCGTTCGATCAATCGCGAAAGCAATCAAGCTTAATGATTAAATTCAATAACCGAATATTGTATTTACTCATTGTTTCGTTGTTTTCCAATTTTCCTACGAGATTATCGAACGTGTCAAATATAAAGTTAAATCAGAAACGGTGTTCATTCATTGAGTAATACATAGGGGTACGCAAGAAGGAAACAACGCTTTCTTTCCTGAGGAGAGAACAGAGAGTTGCGATATCATTTCAAACGCGATGTTACGTAGCAAACAGCCGAGACAGGAAACAAATGTTTATTCCATCGGGATGGAAACTCAAAGGAACCGGAAGCACGCGTGGACAGGGATACGCGAGAGTCATACATCATCGCGAAACGATCACAGAGATGTACACCGAGGACAGGTAGAGATGCGCATGAAACGCATAGGTCACGTTGCATTGCCAAAGATATATATATTCTTAAACGAAATTCTCGCCGAGAAGAGAGACATCCATCGATCGATGGATGGATGAAGGAACGATCACGGAGAGAAGAGAGTCACGAGAAATCGCGTGTTTTGTTTTTCGAGGAATTTGAAAGAAGGATGTTTTCGAGGAAACGATCAGCTCGTCGAAGACAATTTCGTTCGATTCTCTTTCGATTTTCGAATAAATTGGGATCCTATTGGGTGGCCAAGTGCGCTCGAAATCGGTTGTCGGTAAACTGGAAGAAGCGGAAGATCGATATATTACGAATGAAATTGAACGATCGAAGGATCGATCGGAGATTTCGTGATGTAATTATTTTGTCGAAATATAATTTGCGATTGCACAGTTTGGAATGGAATCCATTTTTGATAATCGATTTTATCCGATATTAGACGGTGTACAATAAGAATGAAGGTTCGATGAGAATTAAATAAGAATTCCATATAATTTTTGATTCGTGTTCGAAGGAAAAGTTTGCGTGGAGAGTATAATCTTTGTTATTGTTAATTTAATTAGTAGATATTGCTCATCGATGATAATGTTATTACACGACACGTTGCACGATACGTCTGTTGCGAATTTTCTTCTTTTTTTTTTTTTTTTTTTCTTTTTCAGAAGAAAATCACGACGTGGTGTACAATTCCAAAGATCGTTGTTATTGTTCGCGTTGTTATTTAATTAATGTTATTTGTTTTTAAACGGATATTTATTAAATCGTTGCTTTCAGAGATTACGTCACGAAAAGAAATATTGAATCTCTTATTCTTTCGTACGTTCATTGTACATTTCTTATTCTTATCTGCGATTTCGAAAAAGCAAATATACTTGTTCTCTATTTATTTTACAATTAAGAAATGTCTTCCTTGGAAGAAAATTCAATGATTGCTTTTAAAATTTAAAATACGATATACAGAAATAATTACATATTCGTAGCTTATTGAATTTGTTTTTAGATTATTTATTAAACTTGTTTAATTACGTTAGATTAAAGTTACATCGAATGGCTGCAAAGGCATCTAGTTAAAAAATTTGTAATTTTATATTCTGACTGTAAAAATGCAATTTTTATTTTAATCTTTTATCAGATAATGAATGTCTTCGTCATCTTTGTAAATTTTATTTAATAATGTTAAGCGTTGTATAGTCGATTAAATAATGCGATTTTAATATCATTTGTTTTTTACCAGAAATATTTATCCCGTCTGAAATGTTACTTTAGCTTCTAGTCCAATTATTTCACGATATTCACGCAGAATAGTAAAATTACGATTCACGAGGATAATTCAATCGCATCTCAAAACGTTTAAGACGAAAAAAACACAAACACCGTTGAAAAAATTAGTAACAATCAAATATTCGATCTTTAATAGAAACGAGATAGAAACTTTATCTAAAATAAATTCACGAGGATAACTATACCTTTACAACCCTTATATTTTGATATTACGATATTTAAGTCTCTGTGATCAACATTTTCCGTTAATTTAAAGAGAAAAGTAAAGGGAGATATTACGAAGATATCTATAAAAAAGACGAAATGATTTATATTCTAAAATATGCTGCCGGTAGAACGAATAGCAATTCGATTAAAGAGCCACTCCCTGTTGTGGACTGAATGAACTTCGCGCTGAAAATTAGCGAAGGCACCGTGAAAATCCCACGCGAGCTTCAATTCGAATTAATTAACGCGTAGCTACGCCATTCGGATTCTCCAAAGAAGAAAAGTTTGAATAAGGTGTCTCGAGTAATTAAATCGATCGAGAAAAGGGATCGATTAAAAAGGATCGATTAAAAGGGCTCGCTACAAATGACATCGAATCATCCATTAAAAATAGAATTTTTCAAGAGAGAGACGGTGATCGGATAGAAAAAGATTCTTAAATTGAAGCGAAAAAAAGAGAGTTTAATTCAATGCAATAACATCGCTCTATTAGAGTCTTCATTAGACAAGGCTTAATTATTATTTTAAACTCGATGTACGCGTCCTTTAGTTGTTAATTAATATTAATTCACTCTGGAATATTTCGTTTAATTTAAGCTACGTTAAAAAAAAAAATAATCACGTCGATTGATCAGCAATATTACAATTAAAGTCTGATATTATATATATATATATATACATGTAAAATATTATACGATTTCTTTTTTTCGTTTATTAATTATATCATTTCGTTTTTTCGTTTTTTCTTTTTTTTTTTTTTTTTTTTTTTTTTTTTTTTTTTTAATTTTCATGTCATCGTTTTTCTGTGATAGAATTCGCGTGTTAACATTCACTGTAAATAGTTTGTAAATACGTGCATTGTTTCAATAGCATGATAATCGATAGCCGAAGATACGAGAAGTTTCTTTTATATAAATGACTACATAGTTTGTAAAAAAAAAGAAAAAAAGGAAAAAAAAATAATAGTCCGCGTGTCAATATTTATAATGAATCAGCGATAGCTAATGCGTCGATAGAAAATTATATAACGTTAATTCGAAGATTGCGTTCTCGTTTATTTTTTATTGAAAGTGATAACATTTCAAATTATGATTTTTTTAAATTATAAGATCACGAGATATTTTAATTTTTGTTAATGTATAAACTTGTATAATAAATGTTATCGCTCGAATATTATTTTGTTTTATAATCTTTCGATGTATTTATTCATTATTATTATTATTATTATTAAAGGATTAAAGAATATTGAAGAGTTTTCGTTGGGAACAAAATTTTTTATTCTATTTTATCGAGTATCTCTCATTTGACCTTATTGCATTTCTTTTTGTAATAAACGTCGATGAACGTTTGTTTTCGAAATATCTGCAGGATATAGCGATATCGTGAAAGGAATATTGCACATACATGCATATTTCATGTGAAACTTTTTAGAAAGAGAGAGAGAGAGAGAGAGAGAAAAAGAGGAAATATATTTTGGAAATTATATAATTATGGATTTTATTGTTTCATATTCATTTTTTGTATTAACCTGTTAGAAATAAAACTTGATTATATTTCAAATCTCATATTTCGTTTCTTTTCTTTTTATTATATCACGATTATTAACGTCTTACCAATTAATATAAATAAAATGATAAAAAGGAATCTACAATTAGTTCTATAAAATAATAAACGATTCATAGGAAATCTTGAGATTAATACGATTTATGCTTCTTCCAATTGATTAGTCAATTTTGATTATAACTCGAGAAAAAGATCCCTAGATCCGTTTGAATTTCTGGCAAAGATTTTTAGATAGAAAAGACATTAAAAATACAGCGATACAAAATTTCCTATATTTCTATATTTGATAAACTGATTATTATTATTATTCATTCTCTATGGCAAAATATTTTTTATTATATAATCAAAAATTCTAATCATCTATATCGTTTTAACATCGTTTATTTCTTTTTTCATTTCAAGGAATCTAAAAATCTTAAATTTCTTTTACAAGTAATCATTTTCTAAAAATTCCTTTTTGCAAATTAATAAAAACGGATGACAATTTTCCAAGAAATTGCGATGCGTTGCATAGTCTGATAGGTCAAACAATCAACATTCATTGATTAATCTCGTAAATGAACCAACGTCGAGTACTTTACGAGCTTTTTATGATCGTACATTTTATCAGTTAAAATCTACATGTTATAGCATTTCACGCTACATATTAATTGACTAAGACTAAAGAAAAATATTTCTATGTCCCTTTCATTGGAAACTATATTGATTTTGAATTAACCAATTTTTTAAAATTTTTAAAGCTCGAAAGAAAAAAAACTAAGGTCGTAACTTAATTAATCTTATACATTAATATATTAATTACTCATAATAAATCTTATCGAAAAATCAAATATATTCATTATATGCTATTTTAATTAATTCTTTGATTTTTTATATCTATAACTCTTTTTTGCAAAAAAAAAAAAAANATATTCTGATAATTGGTACGTTAAATCAAAAATTAATCGCATCACATCTA